ACCGTACTTGCTGCATATAGAAGTCACACTTTTCCGCTCGGAGGCGAAAACCATAATCAGCTATGCGTTCTAGTACCTGGTCCAGTTTCTTCTGCAGGTCCATTTTATCTACTGCCGTAATTATGATGTCGTCTAGGTAAGCTGCAGCTCCTGGAATACCTTGTAACATGGTATCCATAATTTGCTGGAAAATAGAGGGCGCTGTCTTTACCCCAAAAGGTAGTCGGTTATACCGGAACAGACCTTTGTGCGTGTTGATCGTTAAGAGATCTTTGCTTTCATCAGATACAGGAATTTGTAGGTATGCGTCTGATAAGTCCAATTTTGCAAAATATCTGCCACCGTTCAGCTTAGCGAAAAGATCTTCTGGTAAAGGTAACGGATACTGGTGAGACTGTAGCGCTTCATTTAATCCCGTGGAGTAGTCTGCACATAAACGAACACTTCCATTTGACTTCTTGACCACCACTATTGGTGCAGCCCAATTCGAGAAGTTCACAGGCTCGATAACACCCATTTGCTGAAGTCGTTGTAATTCTTGTTCAACTATTGGAAGAGCAGCATAGGGCACAGGTCTTTTAGGTCGAAAAACGGGAGCAGCTTCAGGTTTTAGAGTTAACAGTGCTTTAGCTTTCGTACATTCTCCCAATCCTTCTCTAAACACGTTTTGATGTCTTTGTAGCATGGCGTTTTTCTGATTCCATTCTGGGGTGTTGTCTGTACTTACTCGTCTGCAGATACTGTTGATAGAATGATCTGCTAGTTTAAGTGTTTCTATAAGGTCCAACCCCATTAAGTCTAGTGCTGGCTTCTTAGTAAGATACAATGTTGCATTTCTTGTTACCGTACCTTTAGAAACAGTGCATGGTATTTCTCCAACAATATTCAGCTTCCCCCAGATGCACTGTGTGCCAGCTGTGTTGTTGGGAAAACTGTGGGTCTCCCAATGTTCTTCCACGTTTCTGGGCTGATTAAAGTAATATCAGAAGCTGTGTCCAGCTGAAGACGGGCACGGTGTTTATTAATATTCAAGGTCACATACTTTCTTTGGTGGCAACTTCGTGCTCTGTTATGTGATACCAATATCTTGTTGGTTGGAGCACTATATCTGTGTTTCTTTGAGTAAGATTTCACGGAACGTTTTCTATAGTCTCTTCTCCTGCAGAAGTTTTCTTTATGCCCCTTCCGATGACATTTGCTGCAACGATGTTCTTTATATGGGCAAAAACTCTTATAGTGCCAACCTCCACATGCCCAGCATGAAGATGGTGGTTTGTCGCTGTTATTTTGGAAATTATGGGTACTGGAACCTTGAAAGACTTTTCTCTTAACTGCATTGACGTTACGGAAAGAGTTACCGTTTTCTACCATTGAGGTATCATGCTTTAAGTTTACTAACCTTTGGCACTCAGTAGTCACTTCTTGCAGGGTCATATTAGGGCAGTGTTCGAGTTTGCTTAGGAGTCTGGTTCGGATATCGGCATCTTCGGGTGAACACAGGCTGCAGATAAACACTAAGCATTTAAACTGATCTTCAGACATGGACGACAATCTAAACCTCTCACATTCTCGGTTCACAGTTCCTGCATGCTTCACCCAATCATCTCCTGGTTCTTTTGTTAACTTTAAGCATTGGTAACGGATATTAAATAGAGATGATTGTTCTCCGAATATTTGGGATAGGGTTTTGACTGTATCATCAAAACTAAAATCTCGTGGGTTCTTCGGAAGAATGAAGTTGCTATAGCGTTCATGTTCCATAGTACCAAGTTTTCTAAGAAGTATTCTGACTTTTGAAGCATCATCCAGTTTGCAAAGATCAATATAAAACAAATCTTCATACTTCTTAAACCACGACTCGAAAGTTACACCTGCTACACCATCAAAATTAAATTCATGGATGGCGTTAATGACTGAATCAGTATGTGATACTTGAGATTCACTAGAAGCAGGGTTTTTCTCGGAGAGGCAGAATTTCTGCATCAGGGTTTCCATGATTCTAATATGGGACTCTTCAAACCTCTTTTCTTGACGCACCATATAAGCTTCTAATTGCTCCAAGGAAATATTCATTGAAGTTTTCATCCCCGTCGCCACTGATAAGTCGTGTAGATTGAACGCTATATACGATTCCTAAGCTATTTCGGTAACCCGCAGTCTAGAACTACACGGCGACTTGAACTCCAGAGAGAAGACACAAGAACGAGAGAAAGCACTTTATTCCAAGGTTTATTTTTGTACAGAAAATCATGGGTATTTATAGATTTTGGAGTCTGTTAAATCAACATCATTTTACAGCCAATCCGATAACAACACATTATGCTACCGACCAATAGTAGCACGCCACGTTGGAATTCTAGAACGTTCCATCACACTCTGATTGGGCAGGACTCTTCGGCTCCTTGTCATTGAAAGGCGTACCTCAGAAGTGCATAAACCTTGTGAAGGCTCTTTACTCGAACACTACTAGTCGAGTCAGAGCTTATGGCGAACTGTCATCTACTTTTGCAACTTCAAGTGGTGTCCGTCAAGGCTGTCCGCTTTCTCCATTTTTGTTTAACTTCATCATAGACCTATTGATGGAAATAACACTCTCGTCGACTGAATTCTCGGGTATTGATCTCCTTCCAGGAGGTCCACTTATCGACTTAGAATACGCAGATGACATAGTCCTGTTTGGTGAAGACGCTGATAGAATGCAGAGTCTTCTGGTAGCACTAAGCAACAATGCCAGAATGTTTGGGATGTGCTTCTCTCCCTCTAAATGCAAGTTGTTGCTTCAGGACTGGTCTGCGTCAACACCTGAACTAAGGATAGGGAGTGAAGTGGTCGAACGCGTCGACAACTTCACTTATCTTGGAAGTCTGATCAGCCCTAATGGGTTGGTGTCTGACGAAATCTCAGCACGGATTCGAAAAGCTCGTTTGGCTTTTGCCAACTTACGTCACCTTTGGCGGAGGCGAGATATCCGTCTATCAATAAAAGGACGAGTATACTGCGCGGCAGTCCGTTCTGTTTTAATTTACAGCAGCGAAACATGGCCATTAAGAGTAGAAGACACTCGTAAGCTACTAGTATTTGACCACAGATGCCTTAGAAATATTGCTGGCATCTGCTGGGATCACCGGGTAAGTAATAGTGAGGTTAGACGCAGGGTATTAGGGAATGATGGTAAATCAGTTGATGAGGTTATGAATCTTCATCGACTGAGATGGTTGGGCCACGTGTTACGTATGCCTGAACACCGATTACCACGACGTGCAATGCTAACCGGGGTAGGGGATGGTTGGAAGAAAGTTAGGGGCGGCCAAACCAAAACGTGGCATCAGTGCCTGAAGTCACTAACTTCTAGTCTGAGCCATGTTGGTAGATGCAGACTACTTGGTTGGGGTCCGCGTGACTTTCGTAACCAATGGTTGGAGACTCTTGGTGACATGGCTCAGAATCGATCACAATGGCGTCGGTGTGTACACTCCCTGTCTTCCCTTAAACTAAGAGATTAAAATCACTTCATATCTTTCTTTCTACGAACTAATTCTTTCTTCCTATACTATATCCTTATTGCAACCTTTGACCTAACCACTCCTATGAATCCGGTGTTCATCTTGCTGTGCTAATGAGGTATGGCAACCTGGACCGATGCACATATGTGCCTGGTCCTACGTTGTAGCTGACTGACTGACTGACTGTGGGCCTCTGGAGGCTCCGTTGAAGTTCTCCGGAAGCCGACCCAACAACGGGTATGAGGGCTGATGTCACTTCCCGGCTGCCCATACCGTGGAAGGGTATTTCTTGAGGAACCTGAAAAGGAAATTGGATTAGTGTTGGTCTTAACGACCTGGGAGCGTGACCGCAGAGCCCAAGGAATAACTGCTTGAGGCCGGTCGCGCACGACCTTTTTGTGGAAGGTTTTTGACGTGCTAGCTCCGTCCTTCAAAGGGCCTTACCGCCGGAGACGGAAATCCGTGAGGTAAGGTGAGGTGTGCATTTTTAGGGTCGACCTTTTCTGACTACACCACTCCTTGTGGGAAGGCAGCATCGCTGTCATGCTGGTTGTCCGAGGGAAACACCTTACTGCTATCACACCTCTCTACAGTCAGCAGTACGATTTCGATCTCAGACCTTGAGTTGCTGCTTTTAGTCTTACCGTTCACCAATCGACCTGCCTGGCATGGTAGAACCTACAGGAACATATGTTCCAGCCAATATAGCTCGGTTGGGTCATCATGATAGGCAAGCCCGACCACCGCGTCAAGGTAGCAGCTTCGGTCGGGAAAAAATATGGAACGCTTCACGATTTTGCGTGTCATCCTTGCGCAGGGGCCATGCTAATCTCTCTGTATCGTTCCAATTTTAGTATATGTACCGCCGAAGCGAGTCGCGGTATGAAAGAAAGCTGCAAAGGGCTGGCTTGTGTTGGTCCTTCACGACTCCCTGGCTGGGGTCTGAGAGATGGTGCGACACAGTGGCTAGAGACGTTATCAGATATGGCTCAGAATAGAAGCCAGTGGCGATTCTGCCGTAATCTTCTTTTACTTTCTTCATAAAAGTGGTTGTTTCTTCCTTAATGGAAATATTTCTTTCTGGTTGTACCTTTCCGTTCCATGATTATTTTGTGATTATTATTATTATTAATATTTGATATCATTATTATTGCGCTACGTTACACTAATCTGGTCGTTATTTTTTCTTTTTTTAAGGTCCTCACCTTTCCTTTTATCTTTCGGTTTCTTCCATTATTACTATTATTTTTTTTAATAATACACTACCTTACACTAATCTGTTCGTTATTGCTGTGTTTTTTTTCTCTTCGAATTCTATTTGTTTTGTGTGACGCATATATATTTGGTGCCCTCTTGTACCAGTATTTATGTGTTCAAATAAATAGTACTATGTTATACTTACATCCTCATACTCATGTTGAATAATATATTTTCTTTCGTTACCTGAATTATCTAGTAATGTCGTTTTTTATTCTTTTTTGTTTCATTTTCTTCAAGATATATAAAATATTGACTGCAAGACATCGTACTGGCCATTTTCCTCTATTTATTGGAGTTCATCGAATTTGTCAAAATGAATTAAAACCACAAGATTTACTCAGCTGTTTATCATCACATCCGATTCATTCATAACACTTTAGTTTTTAACAATTTCATTGCACACTTACTTTATAGCTAGGAGTTTATTATTACTTTGGTAGAGCTATCTTTTCTGAGTTGAAGAGTTTATTCTCATAGCTTGCATATTCTTCACAGACATTGTCAGCATTAATGTCAGCTAGAAGTGACTTATTCGAAATTATCCGTGTGTAGCTAACAAATTATTGTGTCAATCTTAAATTTGGTTGGTTATTGTTGACACTTGTCTTGTCCTACTTTTTGGACCTAAAAGCAATTGTGTGGACAATAACAGCACAGGTATCACCGACAGCCAATCAAGTTTGTTGTAGATAAAACAATCTGTCATTCATGTATGTAGAGAATTTTAAATAGTTCCTTTCTATCTGAAGTTTGTATCCGATAATGCTGTTTACAATGAAAATGGCAAATCACCACTCAGTTCAGGAAATACAACACAAAAATTAACCTTCGTTGACCAGAAATTTCCTCCGTTATCTCAAATTGCGATTTCACTTTGATCATTTATTTACCTGAGTCACTTTTATCGTTTATTGATGAATTAAATTAGATTGTTGTTTGTATTCGTCAGTCCTAATTTCCCTTATTGTCTTCCTTGTAGAGAATTTTAGTTTATTTCTGATTTTTTGATTTCAGTATTGATTTTATAATGAGAGTATCCATTTGGCTAGGTATATTTTAGATGAAAATATTTGTTTAATTATTTTTTTTATTACTCAAAATATATTTATTGCGTTGACTTATTTACGGACTTTGAAAATATGCGTAATTATTATGGGTACAAAGACATACACCTTGGATTTTTGTATACACTAAAAATTACTCCAATTTTACTCGACTGATCTAAACTTTATTGACGACTAGCCATTTGTGTGCGTGATGATTAGATGGAATTATCTTTTATATGGCCCTTGTAATTCTCTGGACTATAGGTATTAATCAATAATAAGCTTGAATAAGTTGACAATATTAAAATGCTCATTTGTGTTGATTAGAACATTTTCTGACTGTCCGCCTTTTTCTCATAATCTGAAAGAGTGTTGATAATTTTTGCTTTAAATTTTAAAATTTCCCGTTTGATTATTTTTTGTTGAAGAAGAATACTTGACTATACTGTTAGTGAGAAACATTCGTCTAGTATCACCTCAGTACCTCTTTTAGATGATCTTTATCAAAGATCGGAGTCTACTCGAATTGGACGAGATTGAGCGTGACCTGGTAGCTTGCGTCGAAGTCACACTTCATGGTTAATACCTAGCGTGCGATACTCTTTTGTGGTATCCAGGTACTGTGGTTTCTGTGCTCTCCGTGTAGAACAAACATGAAATTTCTGAAGAAATGTATTAGTATGAAAATATCGCACGGGTACAAGACGGAAACACTGTCGCATGGGCCAGTAGATTGAGGCATCCGATTTAGTTATCCTTGACCTCGACTATGTTCGAAAGACTCTGAAGACCAGTGACTTGTCGCCTGACGTAGAAATGGTTCAACCTGACAAACGGTTTGGCCAGAGCTCAGTGGCGTTTCACTGGCCGTATATTCTGATCGTTTGAATAACTTTCAGAGTGAGTGCAGACAGTACGGCATAACCATCTTTCTCGGAAGGTCATTTCTGCAAGATCTGTTTTTGTATGCTCACTTGGAAATATTGTGAAAATCCTTTCATATCTGTTTTTCCTATGTCTAGCTACTTATATTATGTATTATTTCTTTTGTTATTGTCTGTAATTGTATATCGATTTTCACTCTTGAGACAGATTGCAGTTATTTTCAATATATCTCCTAAAAATTTTGAATCCTATTTATCTTTTGATGACCATTTTATTTTACTTCGTTTTTTATGGCGCTTGCCATATTGGACTGCCGTACTTTGGTTATTACTTTGTGAATTGATTGCCTCTGCTTTGTGAGGTTGATCTTGAAACATGTCCTCTGTTTGTTTTTGTGTCGTTTGTTGTTATTCATTGGTAGGTGCATTTTTTAAATGGTCGTCGTTTGCTTGTTGGTTGTTCACATTTGAAGTGACCTGAATTGATATACCCTACTCGGGTACCATGATTTTTATCTATCCTTACATTTTTTCTTATAGCATCTCTCCTGGGTATCTTCTGCAACGTTCTGAACGTTTGTTGCGTCATTGTATAGACGTTATTGGCTATTACCGTCTCTTGAATGATCGAACTCAGTAGTGCGTGACTTAAGTTCTATTGTTGGTACAGATATACTGAATAAGTTCGGTTTCTGAATCTTATAATATCAGTCACGTATTAATCTAACCTCCTATATTGCAACTACTATTCAGTTTTTATTGGCTTCATATTGACACGATATTTCCGGGTTTTACACAATTATGTGACCAGTAATTTAGTGAGCGAACATTTCAATACTTCAATGGGTTTTAATTTCTGACACCAAACGTACAAACTTCGTAATTTCACAAGTACTGTAGATCCGAACTCCGTTGTAGTCACTGTGACATCAATATGACAACACTATTCCCTCATGTTTTCATTATTCATCTGACCTAGTTCAATAACAATCCACTATGTACTTGAATCTTTGTAGTTCAATTGTTTTCGTAATTAAAGTGATAAATCGTCTTAAATTAAATGTCTAAATATAGTACAACACCTAAGCTTTTATATTAATATCTCGTGGCAAATCTAGTTTACGAGGGAGTAGTTTGAGGTTATTACCTATTCAACGGTTAAAATTCAGATAATTTATCGAGTTCAAACTACTGAAGTGTCCGTTGATTAGAAACGCAAAATAATTTAATGCTTACTATTCAAAATAAGTGGTTATCGGATTGGAAGAATGATGGAGTAAGATGGATATTACCCGCACTATCAAATGTACTAAAACATGGGAAGGTTTAATGATCTCTAATTATGTACAATCGGATTCCGTTGAAATCATGGACCGATCTGCGTTTGACCACCATCGACGCCTGTGAGCATTGGATGGCTGTTTCCTCCAGATATGGGACTCGTCAGCAGTGTGCATCCACTGTCCTGTGTGCGGGATCTCAGTACCCTGAGAAGTTATGTAGAATATGAAACAGTTGCCCGCCTGAGGCAATGGGGTTAGTGGTGGGACTCTAATTTATGGACGAGTCAATCAGAAGCGTTTGAGAAATTTCAAGGTCACGGCGCTAAGTTCAATGCGAGATGCTCACATTCGATCATTTTACAGCAGATTTTAGAGAAGAGGTGATTATTGAGCGACTACAACAGATGAGACTATTAGGAAGTTCCTTTATCTGTGACTGCAGCACGATGTGCAGACTACCGTGACGAGATTGTGTTTCGTTGTTCTATATGTTGGAGGAAAAAATCTGCTCGAACTGGCACTTTCTCTGCTCGATCACGACTCAGACTAAGACAAATCATGATAATTGTTGCAAATTGGATTATAAAGTCACCAGTAACATTGGCTGCGGCTTTTGTAGATGTTACAGTACGTGCAACCTGGCAGTACGATATATACCGATGATTGGAAAGCGTATAGATGCCTCCACAGACTTGGGTTTGTGCACCTTAACCCTAACCCTATGCACTATGATTTCAGGACATCTGAACCTTTATCTAACCTTAAAAAGTTTTTAAATCATGTAAAAGAAGAATATCCGGTGTAATTCATAAGTTTTCTATAATATATTTTTGCTTTATACTAACTTTCTTCTGACTGACTAATGCTCTCAAGGTCACTTAAAAATACGTTCAAAGGTCGTCCATAAAATAGAGTTTCACCGAGTTAGTCGATCAACATCGTGGATTGGTTGGAGTTAACGATTAACACTGTTGGATGCCGGCTCAGTGGACTGGAGGTCAAACGTGAAGTTTTTACGTTTAAGTCTCGGATGAAGGGTTGTGTGTGCGTATTGTTAAACAGTCCCACACTGGAACGACACGTTCATCCAGTGCTTGTCGGTTTTCCATGGTGGTCTAACACTGGCCGGTTCATGAGTATAATAAAATTCAACTATATCCACAACCCGAAACTGAAAAAAATACAATTTTTTTCATTGTGAAACTATTATAACAGACTGATACAAACCATGAGATAATACCACGTCTCCAGGAATTTATAGCACATTCACCTCATTTCTCAATTTCTGTTGGTTCGATGAGTTAGTTATGCTCTGTTTAGAAGCATGATTTTCACAAATAACGTGTCTTCTGAAGTTAGTCTAGGATCAATCACTGAGTCTCATTTATTCACTTAATATTTATTTGCTTGGATATCAATAGTTGAAGCATATTATTCTTGGGGGTTTCTTATTTAGTCTTTAATCTCGGACAGTTGAGTTAACTTGATCATAATAAGCGAGACATTTACTCACCGCCGTCACTTGGAAAATTGACAACATGCTAAGAGTTCGCCGTATGAAAGACATCGTAATGAAAATGACACCAACATACATCTGAAGATGAATAATAGGCGTGCACATAAACAGTGCGGACAGATGTGGCTTACTGGTAGTCCCACCGCGGTTCAAAACTTCCCAACAAAGCCAAAAGTGACCACTACCTGAACACCACAGTAAAAGCGTTTATGTATAATAGTAATCCCTGAACAAAAGCAAATGTGACTCACTAGTTCGTGTATATGTCCTTCTGTTTTTATCTAAAATCCGAATTAGCCTCGCGTGCTCAGTGGTCTAGTGGTTAGGTGTTCGCGTGCGAGACTGTTAGGAACTGGGTTCAAATCACGCGAGACGGGTTCGTGGATTCGGACTCCTGAGTCCCACAATAGAACGGAACGACCGTCCAGTGCTTTCAGGTTTTCCATGGTATTCTAGTCTCAAATGACTAATGATCTTAACCACTGAAACAATTGGTAATCAATTAACTAGAAAGTATTTTATATCGCAAAAAACGTAAACTGTTCGAGATAAACAGGCTTGTATATTGGAGTTCTTTAGTACATATATCTCGGCTAGTAGTACTGTAAGGACCGGCTGGAAAGCAAAACTAACGAACCAAAGTTTATTCAAGAAGGTCAGACCACGCCCTTCTGTATGGCGTGCGAAGCGTTTTTGAGTGACTCATATCAAAACACAAACTTTGTGCTCAGTTTGAACGTTTTGTAGTCTGAGAAAGGGAACAAATTATATCAAAAGTACAAAATACCTCAAACAGTTCAGCCTGTGATTTACGATCAAAGCTTTTCTAACACTAATTGGCGTGCTGAACAACAAAAAGAATAGATAATAAACAAGAGTTCGATATCTGGGAAACAATAAAAATATTTTCAACAAGACAGGACAAGATATGTGTCCGCAAGGGTACCAAAAACTTTTCCAAGCAGTTAGTCAAAGTTTAATAGCCATACACTGAAACACACCTAGAACTTGAGTTCGGTCAAACGCGACGTTATTGTCAGTAGTCCGGTAACATACAACAGAAAATAAATAACCAAGCTAAATAACAAAATCCCCGACAAAGATTGAAGAACATAATAGGTGGTTAAGACGATACCTGAATAAAGGGTAAAATATAAGACAGGGAGTAGAAACAAATGAATGACATTACTGTTCAACGGAATGCTGTGGATGGATTTGTGATGTTTTCTTTCTGTTACGCTTACATTTAGTTCATTTTCTACAGCCAGACATGCTCGTTTGTCTCATAAAATTAAATTTCTGTGGAGCATGCACATTGCCCTGACGTCTGTTGAGGAGTATTTTCTTCACTGTTCTGTAACTCACCCCCAAGCAATTATCTGTCACGTGAAGTGCAATCATATCAAAGAAAACTAATTGCTAGACGTTGGATGGTATACTGAACTCCGCCTACGTAGTAGATGATCAATGTGGATCGATCAGTATGTGACAGTTCCATCACATGGGGCTATGAAGTCTCATTCGATGTACAGTAACTTTTGCTAACTTGTTATGCTGAATAAATCACTGTATTGGTATTGTTGTACCTAATCGTTTTTGTGACTTAGTGATTGGAACAGCCTGGCTATCAGTGGAGCAGATCAGTACAGGCAAATATTAAGCAGTGTGACTTCGATGTAAGATTGCTTAGTCAGGAGATCCACGACATTTCACTTAAACTCAGGCAGTTGGGGGTTACTTGAACAATATAATTAGGTTAACTATTAACTACAATAGTCTC